TTGGAAGCAATGACATCTTTGGCTACTTTGACTCATCCAAGCTCCGCAAGGAATCAACACCCGACCAGTACGTAGATTCCATGGTCTCAAATCTAAAACAACAATTAGAGGTAACAAAACAGGCTTTAGCTTAGCTCCGTATTTGATTGATGTTATATTGAAATTTCAATTGCACTTCAATGTTCAACATTTTCCCTTTGGTTTTTGTTTTGTTTTGGTAGAGAATAAATTCTTTGGGCGCTCGAAAATTTGTAGTTGTTGGGACTGCGCCAGTTGGATGCTGCCCAGCACAAAGGATTTCAAATGACGGAGAGTGCAACGAAGATGCGAACTCCATGTCTATCCGCTACAACGACGGCCTTAAGTCGATGTTACAGCAGTCGGAAGCGGCATTGCACATAAAATACACCTTCTTTGAGACATACGGTGTTTTCTCGGACCTCATTCAGAACGGCTCTTCTTACGGTACTTACATCTTACTTACCTACTCTACCAGTTTTTCTCGCATATTATGTTATCAGACTGAAAAGTATGCCGTGCATTCTTATTCGCAAATTTCCCCATATATACAACTTTTTTAGTTAACTTGACCAAGAAATTCCAAATTGTGTATGCCATTCCAGGATTTACGGAGACCGAAGCTGCATGCTGTGGTTTTGGAAAGCTTAACGCCGACTCTTTTTGCCTGCCGATTTCGTCTTTGTGCTCCAACAGAACGGACCATGTCTTCTGGGACAAATTCCATCCTACAGAGGCAACGCATAGTATCTTGGTGGACAAACTTTTTGATGGTCCTTCACAATACACATTCCCAACGAATGTGAAGGAGTTAATTGCTCTATAAAAGCTCAAGGAAGCAGACTCCAATCACGTTTTCATATGCAATAGAAAATTCCACATGTAACTTTATAGCATATTTATAGAATACATACAGATGTAGTTCTTAGGCTAAATGCATGTGTATAAAAAGAACAGAGAATGAATGATGTTTACTTTCACTTGTTTTTTCATTGTTTTATTTACCTTTATCGCCATTTACGTTTTATTAGAGAAATTATGAAGTCCTTAGTTGTCGTAAGGCATAAAAAAGAATCTCAATTCACAGTCTTTTGATTAGAATCGGTTTACTTGGTGCGTAAATTCTCTTATTTATTTATATGTCCGTCTATTAAAATTAATTAATTGTTAATAATAGTTCGTTCGTCGCACTTTCCCAAAATATGCTCTATGACTTTGTTCAGGGTAAACAAAACAACTACAATAATTGTTTGAATAAATTTCGTGTGGAAATATTTTGATGTGACCATATCATTGACCAAGATATGTTCCCACTCACCAAAGATGAATTGAAATTAAAATGGACCCAAAAAATCAAAAACCATTTCAAACGGAACAAAGAGTGTGGCACCGATCCATGGACTAGTCCACATTTCACTCATTATTTTGTGAGGGTTGAATTGAACAACTCATTTTGTAGCGCAACCCATTTTCATTGGTAGCCAGCCCTCCACTACCAATGAAAATTCCCATTTTCTCGTTGCACTAGCA